ATCAGCTGACAGTCCTATGGGTACTCCCTTGTAGGTAACTGACTGTTTTTCTCTTGCTGCTTTTAAGATTCTCTCTTTGTCTTTTGCCCTTGGCATTTTAATTATGATGTGTCTTGGTGTGGTCCTCTTTGGATTCCTCTTGTTTGGGGTTCTCTGTGCTTCCTGGACTTGTAAGTCTATTATTCTTTATTTCAGTCAGTGTATGCTTAATTTCTGATTGGTCCTTTTCCGTTTTTGTTTTGTTTTGTTTTTTTTTGGCATTCTCACTAAGATCCTTAAAGGTCTCACTAAGTTCCTTGGAGGTTTCTAGAAGATTCTTGAGTACCTTATAACTGTGGTTTTGAATTGTATATCCAGTAGTTTGCTTTCTTCCATTTCTTTCATTTGTGACATGTTTCTTTGTCTCCGCATTTTGGCTGCTTTCCTGTGTTTGTTTCTATGTATTGGGTAGCTGCTAAGTCTCCTTGAGTTGATAGAGTGGCCCTGTGTAGTAGGTGTCCTATAGGGCCCAGTGGCTCAGCCTCCCCAATCACCTGAGGTGGACACTCTTGGTGCACCCCTTTGTGGGCTGTGTGCACAGTCTTGTTGTAGTTGAGACTTGATTGCTGTTGGTATCACTGGGAGGAATTCACCTCCAGGCCAATAGGCTGTGAGGACCAGCTGTGTCTATAATGGAAGAGTTGCTGTGCAGGAGACACCCTTATGGGGCAGGACTTGCTTCAGTGGGGCTTTGGTGCTCACTGAGTCTATCCCCTGAGTGTGTCTCTTATGGATGTGAAGAATTGTAATCTGGATGGTCTCACTCTGACCACTGGGTACATTGGCTCTTGGATCTCCAAGGAGGTGCAAAGTCAGCCACTGCCTGGGGCCACCCAGCAGGAGCTACAGAGAGATCTGCAGATTCCTCCTCTTTGTATGGGGTTTGGAAATGCCCAGATGAGGCCCAGCTGTGAAGCAAGGCAGGCTGGTGCTGGTGCGGCCTTGGGGATACTTTTGAAAGCTTTGGGGCTCCCTGACCCAGCTGCAAGCTTTTTTGACAGGTTTTAGGCTGAGAAAAAACAGTCCATTCATATGCAAAAGCCGCTGCTCACAGCCGGGTAGGGCGGAGTTTCAGGGAATCTCCAGGGTGGTGCAAACAGCAATGGCTGCCAGTCAGCCCTGCACCAGGAAGGGCTCTGCACAGGAACAATGACCATTGGGAGCACCTCCATCAGGAAGAAAGCCGCCCCCGCATTATGCCCCGATGCCAGACAGTCCAGTTTCTCCCCTTATCTGTCTGGGCCCCCCAGAGTCTCGCCCGGCAATGAACTAGTGCAAGTGGGAGCTTGTCTCTCCCTCCCGATTAAAAAACGGCACACCTGGGTGCCAGCCCATTCCACGCCTCCACACCTCCTACCAGCCTCAATGCACTTTCTTCACCTCTCTAGTTGTAGTACTTCCACTTAGCCAGCTTTCCCACGGTTCTGGATGATAGCTGTTATGTATGTTAGTTGTAATTTTGATATGGTTTTAGGAGGCAGCAAGTACAGGTGTTCACCTATGCCACCATCTTGGTTCTCCACTTCTCAGGAATTTTATAAAAACAAACAACCAAAAAAACAAGAGGCAGAGATAGGGCAATTGAGAAAAACCTATCCTTGTAATGAAACCTTTGTGACTCTACTGATGGGGGTGCTTGCAAAGCACCAAATATGTCATAATGAGGAAAAAACTAAGGCTGATCTAAAATCATGGACACATATGTTCAAAAATATGTTTGTTGCATGATTATTGGGTGCAAGGCCTTGGGATTAAAATGTTGAACACTACAGACATGCTCCCTGCCCTCATAATTTTGATAACAGTGGGGGATATAGAAAGGTAATCAGGCAATTACTATGTGGTATGATAAGTACCATAAAAGGGAGTACAGAAGGTTATAGGTACTCATAAAAGGGAAAGTGATGTCTAACATTACAGAGATTGGGACTAGAGCTTTAGAGTCCTGCAAACCTGAGTTCAGATCCTGGTTTCACTGGTTTCAATCCATAACCTTGGCCAATTTATTTAATCTTTCTAAGCCTCAACTTTATCAACTTTAAAATAGGAATAATGCTATGTTGAGCTTAAAGGATTGATATGAGCATTCATTGAAATGCATATCATAAATCTGGCAAAATGTCTGGTAAATGGCAAGCACCCAATAATCTTTTAAATAATATTAATGGTAACAATACGCTGAGAACTGAAGCATGAGTACAACCAGGTAAAGTGGAGGAGAGGAAGGAGGGAGATTGTCCTAGGCCCATGTGCCCACACGTGGTATTTTGTGGAAGAGCCACACTCAAGGGGCCAAAGAGCCGCATGTGGCTCGCGAGCCGCAGTTTGCCGACCACTGTGACCTAGGCAAAGGAGAAATGCATACTCAGAAAAGCAATAGGAGGCACCTGGGGTGGGGTCAGAGGTGCAGCTGGATCTGGAAAGGCAAACAGAGCTAAGCTCAATGGGTTTATCTACAGTGGTTCTCAACCTTGGCTGCACATTAGAATCACCTGGGAATCTTTTTAAAATCCTGATTTCTGGGCCTCATCCTTCGAGGCCCAGCTACCCTCATCCGAGGATGAGGCCCAGAAATCAGGATTTTAAAAAGATTCCCAAGTGATTCTAATGTGGAGCCAAGGTTGAGAACCACTGGTTTATCAAGTTCATTAAAGGCCCCTCAAGACTTTTAATCACAGGAGGGACAAGATAAGATTTGAGTTTTAGAAAGACCAGATTGGCCAGTGTGGAGAATGGAATGCAGAGTGAGAAGACAGGAGGCAAGGGGTTCTGTGATAATAATTTTAAGATAATGCCTTGGCTGTGGAACTTCACAGTTAGGGAGGCAGGTGTCACATTAAAATATATATAACAATCCAACAAGGGCTTTCATGTTGGTATTAGCTAATTAGCATTTCATTCATTCACTTACTCAACAAGCATTTATTCACACCAACCAGGACAGCAAAACTAGTGCTCTGAGAGATTTTAAAGAGAGCTAGTTACTCTGCATGGCCTGCTTTCCAGAAGCACCCCATCCAAAACGGCTTGGCTGGAAGGCTGTTACTCTGGCGATCCAGATCATGTGCAATGGCAGAGACCACACACCAGCAGGAAACTCAAGCTGGGAAGCAGTGCTATGTAGCAGATTAGGATGGAACCTAAGGTGTGAAGATGACTCCCCTTCACCCGGGGAAGGGGAAATGTCACTGTAACTCATCCGTGCACATTAGACTTCTTACTACTCTGGAAGGAGTAAATCTCCCATGGAACAATAACCAACATTCATGAAATGTCTTGTCCTATACATTTCAGGTGGGTTAATGAATTCATTACAACTCTAAGAAATAGGTATGATTATGTCCATTTTACAGGTGAGAACACTGAGACAGGAGACACTCCCCCCTCCCCACCCCCAACCCCGAAGGTCACAGAATTAGATACAGTCTGATGTTTTTATCCACCACACTAGGTGGCCTCTGGCAGCAGACCACCAGGCTGACATAAGAATAAAGTCAATTTAAAATGTATGCCTCAGAAATCTGACAGAGAAGAAAAATCACTGCCCACTTTAGGATCAGGAAGCTCAAAATTTGGAAGGTTTTATTATAAGAATAAAATGAAATGGATGATTAAATATGTGACAGTCTCAACAGGAATTGTACTACTATGCTCATCAAATAAGTATGATTTTTTAAAGGATTTCAAAAATACATTTTACTCTTAAGTACAAACCTCAGCTCTGCCATATGGCCTAGGATATTTTAGAAAGTATTCGAAAGGAGTTCCATGCTTACCACTTTAAAACAGAGGGGGTCACCTCACAGATTCAAAGATGGAGAGGTGTGGCAATGGAGATAAAAGAGCTAAGAGAATGAGACCTGTTATTCTTTTGGTTTTCTGCTAAGGTAGGGTGACCAAAGTTAATGATCTCACTGCCAAACAAATACAATATGCTTATTCTCTCAGAACATGTAAGGTTCTATTAACCAACTGGCGAAGCGTGCTGTAGAATAAGCTCTATGAGGCATTTGCAATATGAATCGAATAAAGGCAAAAAAGGAAAAAGAAAATCCCTATCCCTCCAGATACAAAAGAAGCCACTAGCTTTTTGCAATGCCACTTGATGCCAATAGCAACATAGCGTCTTCAGCCAGGGCTCTCAGAGAGCAACGAGAAGAATCCCAGGCCAGATGGTATTTTAAAATCCAATCTCACTCTATTTGTCTCTTCCCACCAGCCTACCTTGTGTTTAAAGCAATCACAGCCATTTTCACAAGCTGCAATATTTTAAAGTAGTCCCCATCCCTTGAGAACACCAAAAGCTCTAACTGTTATGAGTTCAAAAATATTGAGAATACAACTATGGAATTTGTGAAACAACTATTTCTAATTAAACACACACACACACGCGCGCGCGCGGCCCGAAAGTGGAAAGTATGGCTTTTCAACCTATTTCTTTCTCACATTTGACTCCAGTTCACCCACAAACCACTCTCCTTTCATTCATTCACGTGGCAGTCCCTTTCTGAGGACTCACTCTCCACCACTGAAAAGTAACTTGGGACGCCCTCGGTCTCTAGGCACCCGCACCCCGCTAATTCATTGGGCCCGCCCCGCCCTACTCCCAGCTCCAGGCAGAACTTGGAGGGTCCAGTGTCACCACCTGGCACTGCCCCCTGGAGTCCTCGCCCAGCCTCCACCAGCCCGCCCGCCCGGAGCGGCACCCGTCCCTGCCTCCGTCCCCCGGGAGACACTGTGAGTTGTATTGCCTTCCCTGCTTTGTAATCTTCACAAATAAAAATGCCTGTGAGATGGATTCCCCACCCCACCCACCTGCTCGAGGCGCGCAACCACACTCCTTCGGGTCCTCTCCAAGGCACCCGAGCTGCGCCGACCCGGCCGCGGGAGGCGTGAACAATGAACTTCTCTCTCCCCGACTTGCAGGTACACACCCTCGCCCCCGAAAGGGAAGTTCTGAACTAGCCCGGGGGCCAGTGCCGAGATTTCCCCGGGCCACTCCGGTCCGGGCGGTAAGGGGAGGGCCCCGCGCGTCCCCGGCCGCGCCCTCGCGTCGCCGGGCGGGCAGTTACCTCCTTCCTCCGGCTCGGCGCCCCGGGGCGGGTGATGAGAGCCGTCTCCTCGCACACCACGGCCACGTCCTCCACGAACACGCAGTCCGGGAGGCTCTCGTCGGCCGGCAGCGTCACCACCTGCAGCCCCAGCTTGCTGCCCAGCACGTCCACGTAGAGCTGGTGCTGCCGCTCGGCGCGGGCGAAATCCACCTCGTCGCCCTTGTCGCGCCTCAGCGCGTGCTGGCACAGGGACTCGGGCAGCGCCCGCACCACGGCGTGGGTGGCCCGGCCGAAGACGGCGGGGTGGCCGAGCGCGGCCATGGCTCCGGGCGGAGGCGAGGCTCCAGCGGCGGTGGCGGTGGCGGTGGCGGTGGCGGTGGCGGTGGCGGCGGAGCGGGGCGCCGGGGGCGGCGGCGGCAGCAGTTTCTCCCGGGGCGGCACGCGCCGATCCTGCGAGCGCCCGGCGACTCCCGTCGGCAGCCGGGGACTGTTATATTGATTTATGTTTTTTTTTGCGTAAATCATTATGCATAAGAGATTCGAGGAGCCGAGGCCGCGGAGAAGGGCGGGCCCAAATAAGAGACTCTAAGGTTCTCGGACTACTAGAGGGCATTTGCATCGCGTATCCCCCAGCCCACAGAGAGATAGGAAAGAGGGTAGATACAGCCTGACTTCTTTGATTTGAGATTCACGTATATATTAACTGACAGCTCTATCAGACTCCACATATCACGCGGGTGCTCACTTAATATTGTTCATCTCCTTATTCTCCTTGTGGGAAAATGGTTTAAGAAAACAAGG